TTAGATACGTAATTCAGATCTGCAGCCACTGTTTTAGATTGTCTTCCCATCCACTTGACTGACAGAAACCTCACCCCGACAGAATCCACCAATTTCGAGAAATCCCACTTTGCTGCCATTAAATGCCATGTTGGATATCTTTCTATATTGAGAACTCAACATTGCCTGAAACGGTTATTTCGTACCTCCTCCTTAAAGCTCCAACAACTTTTTTTTGTGTGTTTTAGCAGAAAGCTTTGCTTTAGAGAACTACCTACTACATAGAAAAATATTAGCAGTTTTTTCACAAAACTCGTATTTTTGCACTACAAATTTACTTGGGTTTATGTCTTTCCACTTCTCTTTTTCCTATAACAATCGAAAACATACTTCAGCTTCTGTCTGAGGCTCCTCTCACTGTCTTGATCTGAATTCCAACTCTTCCTGTCTTCTCAGGGATCTTGTATTCCTTCTTTGCTGGCTCTCTGCTAGCTCATTAATTCCCATAGCCTTTTAAACATGTACAAGTCTGTACCAGTCAAAAGAAAAAAGCAAATGTTTCCAGCTTAATCTTTTTGTCTACCTTTACTTTCCTCTACTTTGTGTATTCCTTCTTAAGCAAATTGCCTCTGTACATACTGCCTCTCTTTCCTCATACTCACTCATTCCATAATCTTAAATCAGCCACCTCTTTCCTACCCTTTCTCTGAGGCTCATTTTACTGTAGTGTTATGTCTTTTAATATAGTTGCCATCCTTCAGTCATCATCTCTCAATGTGTTGCAGCACTTGTTGGAGGATTTCTTTTAGATATGCCCTCTTCTCTTGACTTTCATAACAGCACACACTCTAGCTGCATTCTCCCTTTCTGGTTGTTTTTTCTCACTTGATTTATACTACTGTCTGCTTCAGTGGCTCCCTTGCTAATCCAGCTTTATCTCTAAACATTCTCTCCCTCTTAGTCTACATTCTAGATATGTTAGATGTTTTTTTCTGTTTCTAAAAGGTATTCTACTTTCTTTTAACCTTCAAGATGTTATGCATACTGGTTCTTCACTCTAGAATGTTCTCCCCTGCCCACTTTATGGCCCAGATTATCCTTTGCTTGTCTAACTTTCATCAATTTATGTCCTTTCCTTTTGAAGTCTTTTTTTTTTTTTTTTTTAGAGGGAGTCTCGCTCTGTCGCCCAGGCTGGAGTGCAGTGGCCGGATCTCAGCTCACTGCAAGCTCCGCCTCCCGGGTTCAGGCCATTCTCCTGCCTCAGCCTCCAGAGTAGCTGGGACTACAGGGCCCGCCACCTCGCCCGGCTAGTTTTTTGTATTTTTTAGTAGAGACGGGGTTTCACCGTGTTAGCCAGGATGGTCTCGATCTCCTGACCTCGTGATCCGCCCGTCTCGGCCTCCTAAAGTGCTGGGATTACAGGCTTGAGCCACCGCGCCCGGCCCTTTTGAAGTCCTTTAGTGACTCTCTAAATTAGATTTCCTAATTATGTGCTCCTGCAGTACCCCTTCTTCTAGTATCATAAAAATGCATTGTTTTATTACATTATATATTTAGATGCTCATCTTTTCTGTAAGTGGTAGACCCTGTTTTGTTTAGTTGACCATTATGTGTCCACAGGTGAAAGAATAAAAATCATACATTACCAAAAAATCACACATTTTCTTTAATGATTTTTGCTCATTTATATTCAGAAAACATCATTGCTTCATTAGGAACACTTTTTTTTTTTTTACATTTTTAATCCAGTGAATTTTCAAGTTGAGTTCAAATGTTCCTACAGGATCCCTCACTTAAAAGAATATTTTGTACAAAAAACGAAATTGCCCTTTCACGTTTCTCTCTGTGAATGTTGTAGGGCATTGTAAGGCAGGGACTTTTTCTTTTCCTTTAGCACTGCATAGATTTTTGAATGCAATAAATTGAACTTAAATTAGCCACAAAAATGTGTGATTTATTGGAAATTATTTAAAACATGTGCTTCTCACATCTCAATAAAGAAAGCTGTAACTTCAGACATTACCTAGCTACATGAGTAAATAACAATCCTCATTGTTTTGACCTTAGTTTCTTCATACATATTCTTCTATACTGTGGGTATATCAGGTACTGAAACCCATAATCGAGAAAAATACTAATATTATATGTTACACTTTTCCAAAAGTATGTAGTCTGTGAACTGCAATTTTACAAATGCATAAATTTGAAGATACTGTATATTTAATCGTTTTTGAATTCCACAGAATTAAGTAAATATTATCCTTTTGTGCAAATTGGAAATCTTTTACTGCATACTTTTTTTGTAGTATAGTAGAATCTCACTGGTATTCTAAGTTATTTTAATTTTGTTTTCAGTTAAGGACCAGGAAATGTGAGATGTTCGTTTGGGAAAGAAAATATTACTGACTTTATCTTACTTTACATTTTAAAAAAGCCTTAATAGTGAATTTGGAATCCTTATGTTGATGATGTGCAAATCATACTTTAAATATTCATCTTCTAAAGTTACTGATTTAATAAAAATTTGTATTTTTTCTTACTATGCTGTAATATCTGTTATTAAGCTAGGAGATTTAATATGTTTATGTCAAAATCAAGTATTCTTTTTATTTGGTTTCTAAAATGTTGGCAGTAAAGTTTTTTTTTCTTAATTAAGATATGGAGTCTCCTTTGATTTACTGTAGACATTGGAAAAAAGAGAAACACAGTGTATATCAGTCATAACTGGCAACAATGATTCCCACCAGCAGTTCTCATCCTTTCACCCATAAAATCAGCATAAAATTGACCTAACATTGCCAGATCAGATTGAGTATCTGGAAAGTAATCCTCAGGGAACAGAAAATTCAGTCTTTGTGCGTAAAGTTGTTGAATCGGATTATTTTTTTCAGAGCCCTTTTGTTTCTTCCTTTGCAGTACTTCTGAAAAGTTGCTACAAAGATGTGTCAGATGTGGTCTAAATCTAATCACATAGGCAGTAACTAAGTTAATCCATTTCAAAATATGGATGCACATGATTATAATAATTTTTTGAGTGCTGAAGGGTAAAATTCATTTAATGAAAATAGCTGGGATATTTTCTACTTTGTGATTAAACCAATAGATGCAGTTTTCATGTACTTATTTGTTCTCCCTCCGAAAAAACAGAGTGTACAGAAAAAAAAATGGTAGTGAGGAAAAGTCAGGCAGCAAAACATATTTAGGTAAATGCTACAAACACAAGTGCAAACTGTAAGCTATTCGATAACATAAATATCCTTATTTAAGACAGTTGTAAGAAAGTTGTCACAAACATCTTCTCAAATAGTAATTACAAAGTTGAAGTTACTTAAAAGGGATATTTTAAATATTCACATTGAAGCTCTGTAATTTCATTATTCACGAGAAAGAACTGTTCTGTATTTCTGCATGAAGATTTGTTTATGTAGCCATTAGTAATTGTATTACTTTATGAAGATAAAAACTTTCATTTAATGTTTTATGAAAATTCTGTCATACGCCTTTGTTTTATGAGATTCAAATCTTAGCAGCTACCATTTTGGTAAAACTGCCATATAAATATATGTCTATTTTTTTAACTGGGAACATAATTATCCACAAGACATTTATGTTTGAGTGTTTTTAGGTGATATGTAATACATTCCACATTTATTTTAGAAATGTATACATTTTGTTTTATATGAGATATAATCATTTAATATTACCTTCATAAATTTGTAACGTATTATTCTTATATAAGATGTTTTAAATTATTGATTTTTATTATTTATATGGAAACTTTTTAGTCCTTAATAAATAAAAAGTTTAATTGTCGAAAACTTACTTTTTTCTTTTTAATTTAAAATACCTGAAAAACTTCTGTGGAACTTAAGTATAAACACAAGAGGAGCCAGCTCATGCTAAAAATGTTGCTAGAAATTTATTGAGTTTTGGAATTAAAAGTTTTGAAATATATATGTATATATACTTAGATCGTATTTTTTAGAAAATGGTATGAAGTATTGGAAATAATGGAATCAGGCTGTAAGTTTTCACTGATTGGTACATGAAGTGTTGTCTTTGAGCCACAAGTCTTTTTACTTGGCGTGGAGTTCAAACCCTGTCATATGGGTGGTACTTGTTACTCATATTAGTCTTATCTTGGGCTTTCAAGTTTTGTTTTGTCCAGAAGAAATAGTCCATTATTCACTGTCCCTTTAAAACACATTTGAAGTGTTCAGAAGTTTATTTTTGACAGAATTAAACCATAAGTATATGACTAAAATATTTATTAGTGCTTACTAAACTAAGATATTAGCATTTTATTGTGTTAAGTAGAAGAGAAATACTGTGAGAAACAAAGAAAATGAGAAACAGGTGTGAATATTTGTAAGACAATATTGGTTTATATATATTAATTACTAGATAAAACATGTTAGAAAAATTTCTGTGAAATGCCCTGCAAATATCAATTGTATTTTAAATGAGCTGCTTTACATCTACTTACCAACTTACCTATTACTGCAAATGTGAGATTTAAAAACTGATAGAAGGCAAATATTATTACAGTTTTTGTAAATCTTAATTGGAATTTTAAATGGATATTTAAGGTGTATTTTGGTATAGTCTCTGAGGGCTATATTTTATTACATACTTGATACATTTGTATTTTTCTTTTCAAAGTAATACCAGTATTTTAAAAGTGTAGTTAAAACAGAAAATTCAAAGTTTAAAATCTTAAAATCTAAGATATGTAAAAAAAAAGTGAGTTACTAAAAGAAATACAGTAATGATTTTTAATAACCTGACCAAATTTTTAATATCATTTATTTCTATTTGAAGGTCATTACATTTCTTAAAAAGTCAAAATATTTAATTATAGGAAGGAAAAGAAGTGAATGTCATCAACTATAAATGTTTAAAGAAAAATTTAAATGTTGTAATTAAAGTAGCTTTGACAATTTTAAGAGTGCTTAACCAAGACTGTTTCTTTAAATGTGTTATTTTGCTGCTGTTTAATTATACATGTCAATTATTTACAGATCCTGTGGTATTGTGGAAATTCCCAGAGGACTTTGGAGACCAGGTTGGTACCACGTAATTAAAAAAAAAAATTGAGGTATTATGATTGTTGCTACTATTACTGCTGCTGTTGCTAGTGTAACTACTAGCAAACATGGATTGCTAAAATTATTTTCTCTTGATCAACTGTGAGAAAAAAATGCATGTGTGCAGAATATATGGAAGAATCTTTTAAAGTTACCAAGTAGATGGGTGATGAAGAAGTCCTTATGCTGAAACTCATAGGGACTAGATGTTTAAACTTTCAACATATTTTATACTTGTTTAATTTATCTATATATCTTTGAAAACATTAAAAACAATAAAAGGTTGACAATGTGAAATCTTTGTTAAATATACTCTTATTATTTCTGTGTACTTAGAAATAAGTGTTACTGCCATAAATAAGTGATCTGTTCTCTCCTTGTGACAGTAATATCTGAGTCATTTACATATGGAAGTTGAATTATCACTATTTTTTCATTTTAAAGTAGTTTTTACCTATAGCTTTACTTTCTTTAAAAAATATATCATGCAAGACAACTAGATGAATTTATTCCATTTGCATTTTATATTAGTCTTCTGTAGTTCCTCAAATATTTAGTATGACCAAAATGATGAAGTAATTTTATATGATATATGTAAATAGAAAAATCATTTAAACTTTGTTATAGATTTAGCATTTTGATGTTGCTTTATATATAATATACAGTAAACAATACAGATTTAAGGATTTTTTTGCCAATTATTTTTTTGCTTTTCTAAAAATTGACACGGCCGGGCGCAGTGGCTCACGCCTGTAATCCTAGCGCATTGGGAGGCTGAGGCGGGCAGATCATGAGGTCAGGAGTTTGAGACCAGCCTCACCAACATGGTGAAACCCCATCTCTACTATAAATACAAAACATAGCTGGGTGTGATGGCGTGTGCCTGTAATCTCAGCTACTGGCGAGGCTGAGGCAGGAGAATCACTTGAACCTGGGAAGCAGAGGTTGCAGTGAGCCGAGATCGCGCCACTGCACTCCAGCCTGGGTGACAAGAGCAAGACTTTGTCTAAAAAAAAAATAAAATTGACATATTATTCTACACATATATAGGTACACTGTATTTCGATACATGTATACAATATGTAATGATCAAATCAGGGTAATCAGCATATCCATCACCTCAAACATTTATCATTTCTTTGCACTGGGAATATTCAAAATCTGCTCTTCTAGCTATTTGAAAATATATGATAAATTTTTGTTCATTATAATCACCCTACAGTGTTATAGAACACTAGAACAGTAGTCCTCCTATCTAGCTATCATTTTGTTCCCATTAACTAACCTCCGGCTATCAGCCCCAAACCCCTGCCTGCCCTTCTCAGCCTCTAGTAACCACTCTTCTACTCTACTTCTGTGAGATCAATTTTTTAAGCTTCCAATATGAGTGAGAACATGAGACATTTGTGTTTCTGTGCCTGACTTATTTTACTTAACATAATATCCTCCAAGCCCATCTGTGTTGCCATGAACGACAGGATTTTGTTCTTTTTTTATAGCTGAATAATATTCCATTTTGTATATATACCATATTTTTTAATCCATTCATTTGTTTATAGACACTTAGGTTGATTCCACATCTTGGCTCTTATGAATAGTGCTGCAATAAATATGTATCTCTTTGGCATACTGATTTTCTTTCTTTTGGATATGTACCCAGTTAGGAGTGGGTATATGTCAACTTTCATCTTTGTAAATTGTGAGAACTGCATCTGTGGACTTAAATTATAGTAAGTTTCTGTATTGTGAATTTAACAGTGACAAGATTATCTTATCCCCTTTATTTGAAGACATAAGAAAGGAACTTGCTCATCAGGCATCCAGCAAAGAGTACTTATTTCTATCAGAACTTAAATTTGTATAATAAAAAACCTGGAATAATGTGTGAAGCTAGTAGGACAGAACATAGGGTAAACACTTCAGGATGTTGGGTTGGGCAAAGATTTCATAAAGAAAACCTTAAAAGCACAGGCAAGATAGGAGGACTGGTGTTCTAGTGTTCTATAACACTGTAGGGTGATTATAATTAACAAGAATTTATCATATATTTTCAAATACCTAGAAGAGCACATTTTGAATATTCCCAGTGCAAAGAAATGATAAATGTTTGAGGTGGTGGATATGCTGACTACTCTGATTTGATCATTACATATTGTATACATGTATCGAAATATCACAATGTACCCATATATATGTAGAATTATATGTCAATTTTTTTTTTTTTTTAGACAAAGTCTTGCTCTTGTAACCCAGGCTGGAGTGCAGTGGCACGATCTCGGCTCACTGCAACCTCTGCTTCCCAGGTTCAAGTGATTCTCCTGCCTCAGCCTCGCCAGTAGCTGAGATTACAGGCGCGTGCCACCACACCCGGCTATGTTTTGTATTTTTAGTAGAGACGGAGGTTCACCATGTTGGTGAGGCTGGTCTCGAACTCCTGACCTTGTGTATATAGTGGGATTGCTGGATCATGTGATAGTTCTGTTTTCAGTGTTTTGAGGAACCTCCATACTATTTTTTTGTATAATGGCTATACTAATTTAAGTTCCCACCAACAGTGTATGAGTTCCCCTTTCTCTGCCTCCTTGCCAGCATTTGTTAGTTTTTGTCCCTTTGATAGTAACTATTGTAACTGGGATGAGACGATAGTTCATTTTGGTTTTGATTTGCATTTCCCTGATGATCGGTGAAGTTGAGATTGTTTGATGTGTCTCTTGGCCATTTTTATGTCTTCTTTTGAGAGATATCTATTCATCTCATTTGCCTATTTTAAAATTGTATTATTTGTGTTTTTGCTGTTGTTTGAGTTCCTTGTATATTCTGGAACTTAATAATTTGTCAGATGATTAATTTACATATACATTCTCCCATTCTGTTGGTTGACTCTTCAGTCTGCTGGTTGTTTCTTGTGCTGTGCTGAAGCTTTTTAGTTTTATATCATCTCATTTGCCTATTTTTGTTTCTGTTGCCTGTGCTTTTAAGGTTTTCTTTATGAAATCTTCGCCCAACCCAACATCCTGAAGTGTTTACCCTATGTTTTGTCCTACAGCTTCACACTTTATTCCAGGTTTTTTATTATACAAATTTAAGTTTTGGTAGAAATAAGTACTTTTTGCTGGATGCCTGATGAGCAGGTTCCTTTCTTATGTCTTCAAATAAAGGGGATAAGACAAATCTTGTCACTGTTAAATTCACAATACAGAAACTTACTATAATTTAAGTCCACAGATGCAGTTCTCACAATTTACAAACATGAAAGCTGATAAAAGTATGTGTTTAAAGCAGTTCATTCAGAAATAAGCCTACAGACATGTGATTTTGAATAAACATGAAAGAATACTTTTCTAGATGTGAAAGTCAATCTGAAAGACTTAGAAATTACACTCAAGAAGTCTGATAAATTAGCGTGATAAATATTAATTACATCTAGTACAACCTTTGACCATGGTTTCACATAAAAAGAGGGTATAGAATTATAATTTGATTTTAACTTTTTAGAGAAAGGATAGATTTATAAATATCTTAAGTATGTAAAGGAACTTCCTACAGTGAAGACATGGCTTGGGAATAAGAAGTTTGCATTTGTTCTCAAGTAGCTTGTAGTTAGATTAGAGCCTTGCTCACTCATTTGGCTATTCATATATGTGTGTATATATGTTTCTCAATTCTGTCTTGTCTGTTCAACCGATTATAAAACTCCTATTCCTGTTCAGTTCTTTTTTTTTTTTTTTAGTTTCTACCTTTTACTTTTTAAACTGCCCCTGAGCATTTTTAGGGGTTCTGAAGACTCCCAACTTTGAGTTCACATGAAAGTGATAATATACTTGTCAGGTCCAGCTTGGAATTTTTAAATTTGGGGCTTAATTGTTGTTCTGTTTCTGAAACTGTGAGATCACTGGAACATCAATAAGCCCTCATATGCTTAGTGAAATACAGAAGCTCTTAACCATGTAATGGTAATGAACATTCATAACTCTTAGGATTCTAGTTTACAACAGTTCTTATAGCCTCCTTGAAGGTTAGAGCTGAAAGGAACTTTAGATACCATTTTGTGTATCTGTTTCATTTTACATCTAAAGAAATCAAGCTTTACATGGGAATCTAGTCACGGGCCTTGAATAATCATTTTGCTATATACTTTTTAGGGAATTTATTGAATTCTACAGAAGACACAAGTACTCTGTGTACATTTCTTAACCTTTTCCATTTTACTGCTTTTCTCTACCAACTGCCTGCTCCTTAACTAGCCTTTTCTCTGGATCTGAGGCTACCTCAGTAATTATAATCTTAAAAAGCTCTTTGTTTCACTCTTACCATGCACTGGGCTCTATAACTAGGTGCTTTATGTGCATACTTCATTTTATTTTTAAATCCTTCCAGGACTAGTGGGAGATAGTATCATCCCTGAACTGAGTCTTAAGTAAGAAACTTACCTGAGGTCACAGAGCTTGTAAGAGGCGGAGCTAAGATTTGAAGACATGTTTGTCTTACTCAAAGGCATGTACTGTTAAATTTTTAACTTTATTGTTTTTCTTCTGCTTGGAATGTTGTCTCAAACTTTCCTTACTTATTTTAGCTCCCTTAAAAAAGATTATTTTAATAATTTTTCTCTTTGTATCTTTAGAATTTAAAAGCAATATGTAATTTAGTCCAAAGAAATAATATCAATCCATTTATCATAACATGGAGCTGTAGGTCCCTGTAGGCACTGGTTTATTATATGCTTCTCACAGTATGTTTTCCTTCTTTTGGCAATTGAGGAACCAGTGGGACAAATGACATGGCATTTCAGGAGCTTTGATTATATATATGTATTTTTTTTGATACAGTGGATGGTTTTGTACAGGAGAGTATTGGGAGATAAAACTATAAAAGTAAATGAGCTGGGTTTTGTTACAGTTTGCCTTGCTGAAGAGTTGGTCCTTCAAGTGGGAGAGATTTCAGTATGGATTGGTTGTGGTAGAAACTGGAGGCGAGGAAA